GAGTATTTTAAAACAAAAATACCAGATGTTTATTTTATTTATCAGAGTCAGTGTTTCCTTTGCTAAACACATAAACCAGTAATGCTGCTATTCGAATTCATATTTTGGAATTTCTTTCTGAGTTAGTCATAAAAATCTGTCTTATTTTGTGTGTTTCACTTCCACATTTCAAATGGGCAAAAACTGTTCCCCTTTTTACTACTACCGTTATTATTCAGAATAAGTTTTCCCTCCTCAAATTAACTATATTCTAAAAGAGAAAAAAATGATTACCATTAAGTATATTTAAAAAGTGAATGTAGATCCAAACATGGATTTGAAAACTGGAATTCTAAAAATATTTTTCATAAAAGCTATATCACTGGAATTAGTGTGAAGCCTTAACTTCACTATTTTGAGGATGTAACACTCATTTAGTGTGTATGCTAGTTTTACAGTCAGACCTCATAACTCTTGACGTCTCAGAAAATAGCTAAGTGAGGAGCTTTGAGTGCCAGCAAAGCCATTTTGTCACTCCATGACATCTACATTAAACATTACATTCCACCCCTCTACCTGTAAAACTTTCACATTCTTTTCTCATGTTTCTTTTAAATACATTTTCCTCTCTCAGTCTATATTCAATACAGGCAAAAGTGCATTCAAGTCCCTGATTCAGTGATATTTTCTATTTGTGGCACCCATTACCGTAAGAACATATTAGCAACGTCTCACAGTACCAAGTCCTATTTTTTAAAAAAGGACTGTTTAAATGAGTGGTCTTACATTTCATGCTATCTAAAAATTAAAACACTTCCCCTCGGATTGGATGGTACAATTTCCATTATATACTGTCTTTAAAAAAAATTAAGGGCCGGCCCTGTGGCTCACTCAGGAGAGCGCGGCACTGGGAGCGCCAAGGATGTGGGTTCAGATCCTATATAGGGATGGCTGGTTCGCGTGCTGGCTGAGCGTGGTGCAGACCACACCTGACCGAGGGTTGTGATCCCCTTACCAGTCAAAAAAAANGTTTAAATGAGTGGTCTTACATTTCATGCTATCTAAAAATTAAAACACTTCCCCTCGGATTAGATGGTACAATTTCCATTATATACTGTCTTTAAAAAAAATTAAGGGCCGGCCCTGTGGCTCACTCAGGAGAGCGCGGCGCTGGGAGCGCCAAGGATGTGGGTTCAGATCCTATATAGGGATGGCTGGTTCGCGTGCTGGCTGAGCGTGGTGCAGACCACACCTGTCCGAGGGTTGTGATCCCCTTACCAGTCAAAAAAAAAAAAAAAAATTAATGCACCTTATGAAAGATCAACTCAGTTTCTAGTTACCTTCATTACTCTAAACTGAACTATTCAGAAAATGACTGAAGTGAAAAATTTCTTATTCTATTTTCCAGTTCCACGAATGAGTATCAACATAGTTCAATCTACTTTCAAATTCTACTAGTGTGGTCTAACATTTAATCAAGTTTTAGATGATGTTTATATTCCTTTTTTGGTTCTGAAAAACCTGACCCATTTCCATGCAAAAGGAGGCATATATTAAGATTGCATATTGACTGATTAACTTAGAAAAAAACTTTTGAGAATAAATGCAAAAGATATTTAAAAACTGGAATGAAATTATTTGGTCCCATTAAGATCCTTAATTTTAGATTTCATTATGGTATAACTTTTAATCTCCCAAGTTTTGTCTATAACAATAAATAATTTTTTCTTAACTATTCTCAGTTGGGGGAAGAAAAGCAAGGAAATGATTTATAAACAATAGCCTTGTTACTCTTCATTACCATGCTGTCATCAGTATCTTAGCTCTACTTTCTTTGGAGCATGAAATAAGTTGGAAAATCATCATTGGTACTTTACAGTTTAACACTTGGGAAAAAAAAGTGGTTTTGTGCAACTATATCTGGAATTCCAGTTTACCATTAAATACATGCGGAGTGAAGATGTTCTTCTTTTGATTCCTGTATGTAAGTGAGGAACTCTACAAAGTTCCTTACATTTTGGCAGATTTGTGCATATAAAACAGGCTACTTGGATTATAAATTTTCCCCTGGCTGGTACTGTGGCTCTGTAGCAGTGAAGTAGTCTTCCAAGAAAGACTGAATATATTCAAATGTTGGTCTTTCATCAGGATCCTTCTTCCAACACAGATTCATCAATTCATGGAGGGATTCTGGACAGCCCTGAGGGCAGGGCATCCTGTATCCTCGTTCTACCTGTTCCAGCACTTCACGGTTTACCATACCTGATACACAAGATTCAAACATTACAAAACAGGGAGGAGAAGGGGAGGTTAGTGAGAAATTGGTAAAGGGCAAAATATGACTACATCGTGTAATGCTGAATATACTAATCATACTGATTTGAGCATCACATATCGCACACAGGTACTGATATTCAATGCTGTATCCCACAGATAT